ATCTATCTATCTATCTATCTATCTATCTATCTATCTATCTATCTATCCATCCATCCATCCATCTATCTATCTATCTAATCTATCTATCTATCTAATCTATCATCTATCTATATCTATCTCATCTATCTCTATAATCTATCATCTATCATCATCTATATGTCATTTATTTATCTAATTATCTATCATCCATATATGTCATTTATCTAATCTCTCTCTCTATGTCATCTATATATGATCTATATATGTCACCTATCATCTATATATGTTATTTATCTAATATCTATCTATTATTTATCTATCTATCTGTATCATCTGTCTATCTATCTATCTATCTATCTATCCATCCATCCATCCATCCATCCATCTATCTATCTATCTTTAGCACCATTTATCGATCTCTATGCAATCATCAAGAAATCAACCAGAAAATCAGAACACAACATGAAAGAAAGAAAGAAAGAAAGAAAGAAAGAAAGAAAGAAGAAAGAAAGAAAGAAAGAAAGAAAGAAAGAAAGAAAGAAAGAAAGAAAGAAAGAAAGAAAGAAAGAGGACAATGTCCAGACTGCGGTTCAAATTAATTTAATTATATTTTCCTTCTCCTTCAGATGCTCTCTTTCTCTCTCACACACGCCCAGACTCATAAATACAGAATACAGTTGACGCAGTGCAATCAAGCCACTCAAGACAGGAAACAGTTAATGAGATGTACAACCGTTTCAGCAAACCTACCTGACAACATCTGATTTTGTCTTATTTTAAAAAGCAAATGCCTCACCTGGGTAGGTCACCCAAATGAGACAACCTTTGCGAGGCTAGGTTTTAATGAACCAGAGCAATCTTGTGGGAGGCCTCACGGTCGATGGAAAGTTAATTGCATTGTTATTTAGCCTGAGATAGCATTCTGCGGAGATAAGATTTTAAAATGTATTTGTTATGATTTATTTATTAAGGAAATCGTTTCATGCTTTTTTTTCTTCCTTCTTTGAGACAGGATAGCTGCAAGAGCAAAAAAATAATAATAATTACGATTGGAGGGCCATCCGTTTTATCATTTTTAAGAGGAGGGGGCTCAACTCTTCAAGTCTGGTGTCCACTCAAAATAAGAGTCATGGACATCAAGGTGTCACCAAAAATAAGAGTCATGGACATCTAAGGTGTCCATCAAAAATAGAGTTGTGGACATCTGAGGTAGGACCTGGCAGAAAAGAACCATTTTCTTCTGACTGCCCAGATGTTCTGATGTGGTCCAGATATGGTCCCAAGCATAGAAACTTTTTCAGTGACCGGATGTCACTCTTGACTGTTTTTGCGGGAGAGGGAAGTTGAATGGCAAAGGGTCTAGTCCTTGGGTGTTTGAGATGGAAAGCACTTCCATATTTGGCCAACCAGAAGAGGAGATTTTGTGCCCAGCCAACCAGATGTTCTATGCAATGCCACCCCTCTTAACTAGTACCCAAAGCCATGCCAAATTAAAAACCAATCTGCTTTGGCAACCTAATTTACTCCTCCAATTTGTGTGTAAAAATTCTGACGTCAGGGGAAAGAGAAGGAACAGGGTCCATATTCATGGGCCAGGAAGGGTGGAGAAATGTGGAGACCAAGTCTGAGTATATTATGTAAAGAAGGAGATAAAACAAGTTATGGAGCTGACTCAATACAACAATTCTTCTAGCTTGCTTCTTATCTAATTCCTTTGGTATTTATTTCCCACAAATCAAGTTTGCTGGTCCTCTATAAAAGTCATAGGCATCTAATCATCCTCAATCAATCCGATATCGCTTTGCAGACACGGTACGTGCAGGTGAATCTGGTAAGTTCTTCTCTTCTAAGCTGCATCTTTGAATGGAGATGGTCTCTGGTTTGAACGTACCCATTATCTTCAGGTAGTGATTAGAAAGAAAGTATATCCAGATATCTCAGAGAACTTCTATTGGTCAGGAGCACCTAACCTTTGTCAACAAGAGTAGTTTGAGAATCCCAGCTAGACATATTATGGTTTCAACCTCTTTAGAAGGTTCAACTGAAGAACCAAGACTAACCTAGATCCTTTTGCTAAGATCAGATTGTATTTTTCTTCTTT